ATACGAGGTGATTGAAAATACCATGGCTTGGGTCAGGTGCACCTTAGTCCTCAAAGTGACATCTTTGCTTTTTAACACTTTAAAGAGGTCTTTTGCAACAGATTCGCCCAGTGCAATACATTGTTTGGTTTCTTGACTGCTGCTTCCATGGGTGTTGATTGTGGATCCAAGGAAAATCAAATCCTTGACAACTTCAATCTTTTCTCCATTTACTGTGATATTGCTTATTGGTCCAGTTGTATTTTTGTTTTCTTTATGTTCAGGTGTAATCCATACTGAGGACTGTAGTCTTTGATCTTCAACAATAAGTGCTTCAAGTCCTCTTCGCTTTCAGCAAGCAAGGTTGTATCATGTGCATACCACAAGTTGTTAATGAGTCTTCCTCCAATCCTGATGCTGCGTTTTTCATAAAGTCCAGCTTCTCAGATTAGTTGCTCAGCATATACAGATTGAATTAAATACAGTGAAAGGATACAACCCTGATGCACACATTTCCTGATTTTAAATCATACAGTATCCCCTTGTTCTGTTTGAACGACTGTCCAAAGTTTACACTAAGCATAACACTGGAAAGGCACGTTGTGAGGCTAAGTGCAGGCTCAGGCTTTGGAGTCAGTCATACTGAAGTTCAAATCCTCCCTCTGCCACTTACTGTGTTAATCTGACCAAGAGAACTATTCTGTAGAAACCTCCATTTCTTCACCTATAAAATGTAGGTAATAGTAGTATCTTCCTCATGGAATGACAATGAAAATTAAATGGAGAATAAAATCCACCACATAAAATCCATGCTGCTCCACCTTGGTCCTCACAAACGGGGCTGTTATTAATCCACAGCTACCACGTGCCAGGTTCTCTACTGGACAGTTTACAATAAGGGATGTTCTACCTAATCTTAGTATACTGTTACTGCCTAAGATAAGAACATTCAACCCTAAAAGACTCTAACCCAAATTCTTTCCAATAATTACAGGGAAAACTTGTAAGTTCTCTTGAGTTTCTTCCCCCAGCGGTTACTAGATTTGAAAAGGTTGCAAAGCATAGTCTTCAATGGATTTTTAGATTTCTTTTAAAGTTATCATGCCCATCTTCCTCTGGGAGGCAGTTTTCTAATGGAAGTGGCTTGCAGACAACCCTGCCTTGAATACCTCTGCATTGCAAGTAATAGCTTCCTCTCCACTTAAAAATTAAAGAACTCAAAAAAAAAAAAAAAATAACCCGCTGCCGTCGATTCCAATTCATACCAACCCTACAGGACAGAGTAGAGCTGTCCTATACGATTTTCAAAGCTGTAATCTTTACAGAAACACACAGCCGCATCTTTCTCCCATGGAGCAGCTGGTTGGTTTGAACCACTGACATTTTAGTTGGCAGCCGAGCACTTAAAACACTGCACCACCAGGACCCAAAGATGTTGAATTGAAAATGTTCTCATTTGTTTCTAAGGGCTTTCTCTGCCTACAGTTAATGGCTCTATACTGAAAGAAGCACTTCCACATGCTCAGGAAAAACAAAGTCGCAGGTCAAAAAAAGATTTATGAGTGTTTGGATACCAAATTACCTTTGTTTCTGAATCAAGAATTCTAAAGAAAACTATAGGGTTACTGAAATTATCTTTCACTGAGGTATAAATAAAGGGTTAGTCCTCAAATCTCAAAACCAGCAGATAACGTTTGATCCTAGGCTGAGGTGTGAAATACTCAAAATCTTCACAATTCTGCTATACACCATCTCACTACCTCTTCATCCTTCTGTTATCACTTAAGTGTGAATAAATCAACACGTTCTTTCTTCTTTTCACCTCCCAGCACAAAGAGTGAATGGAGGTAAGAGCTCAGGCCTCAAAAACAAACCAGAGAGGGTCACGCTAAGTATGACTGATGCTCAGCTGACCAAGCCCAGGATTTGCATGAGGCCACAATGAAAATTTCAGAAGCTTAGTTGTGGGGATCAGGAGTGGTGTGAGAAGCAAATGATCAGATTCATGTTGTTAAAATGGAGTTTTTTCTTTAAAAATTATTAGAAGTACTCATGGTTCAGGTGACACTTAGAAGGAGTCACCAGAAAAACGAAAGCGGGAAGTGGATTCAAATTGTAGCTGACGACAAACGTCAATTTATGTATTGAATGCAGCCAACCCCACACCCTCACTTACATGTTGCACACTGTATTCCATGGGTCAATCACACAAGAGACTCCACCCTTGATCAAACCCCTTCTATAGTCACCATCCCATTTCTCTTTATCCTTCACAACAAAGCTGCTCCATGGATTTGTCTACATACCCTGTCTCCACTCCTCACCTCAACACTAACCAGTCCTTCCCACCCTTGTCAACTTCACCAATACCAAAACTTCAGAAATGTTAATTAAGGTCATTGCAGTCAAGGAAAAATTGAAGAACTGCGCCAGACTGAGGAAGACTAGAAAGACATAATAATCAAATGAGACATCTGATAGTACATTGGGAGTTTATGCTGTAAGGACATTATTTGAACAACTGGCAAAATGTGAATGGTATCTCTGGGACAAAGGGTATTATGGGAGTTCTTGGCACCATTCTTGCTATAAGTACGGATTTTGAAAATAAAGAAAAGTAGGAGCTATTAGAAAATTCAGGCTTATTTAGCACCCAGCAAAACTGGAACTTCACACATCACTCTCCAAGATACACGAATTACTACATAAAAAACAATTTTAGTTAAAGTTCTGGACTTGGATAGTAGGAACAGCACTTTGTAAAGTTTAGTGCTATACACAGTCCTGTTTATTACCAATGGAGGCTACAGCATCCAACTGTTATTCAGGATGCTTTCTTTCTGGCATAGAGAAAGGAAGTGGCCTAAATAATTTCCTAACTAAAGTCGGTTATCCAGCAGGACAATAAGCTATTCAAAGTCTCTATCAAGAGGCTAACGGTGAAATATCTAGTCAGGAACAGCATGTTGCTGCGAAGCTAGGACTAAAATGGTTGTAAAAGCACGTCTGGGAAAAGTATCAACCCTGAAAGGGATATATGTGAAGGGAGTGGGGGGCAAAGGTCCTGTGTAGCGGGATCTTTCAATCAGATGGTATAGGAGGAGTCTTGGATGAACTGCTGCAGAGTAAATAATTCCTTATAGTTTTAAAGTTGCTTCAGACTTTTCAAATCTCTTTTCCATCCCATGACCTTTGAGCCACACTACAAAACTGTGAATAATTAAAAGTATGAATTCCAACTACTAATTTTTTCTTCTTCTGACTCAATTTTTTAGTCAGTATATATTATTAAAAGCACTTCTACAGTTGATTAAATGGAGCAAAATAAGAGCCATAATTAGTCTTCCATGAACCTTTCTATACTTGTGCAAATCTCCCTAAACAAAAGTTTAAACCATGAGACACCTCACTGGCAAAAGTGCTAAACAAGAAGGGCAAAAGAAAGACTCCATAAATGAAAATATAAGTTTGAAATACTCAGAGCCCATTACACAATAAGTATACAATGGAATCTCCAGACTGCAAGGCATTCATTCATAGGGTGAAGAAATGAGAGGCTGCGCACACCTTAGCATTTGCACTTTTCCACTTGCATCAGGTAGACAGGAAAAGAGGCCCACACCACCTGGTCCCAGAGGTCTTCAAAAGACAACATTCTAAGACTAATCCACATTCCAAAGCATTCACAGAAAGGCATTCTATTTGCTAATAAAACCCACTCAACAGTAACATCCATTTGTCTTCAAGTTTGTGAAACTGCGATGACACATAGAGCACATTTATTTTTATTTCAACATTTAAAATATTCACAGGTGGAGTATTATATTCATTGACATCTCCATGGAAAATGTAGCAAACAAAGCATACAGACAGGCATTCTACAATTACAGAATTACATACTCGTGACTATGTGAATGTTTGTCCCTAGAATTTATCTGGAAAAACACTACTTTAAAAAAAAAAAAAAAAATGGAGTGTTTCACTGGATTGATTTCCATAGAAAATGAACTTCAAAGAATTTGAGGAGAGATACCTAAATATTAGCACATTTTAATAATGTCCAACTTACATAGTACTCTTCTAACACCATACCTCTGTCAGAACACCTACATAAGATACAATTCTCTTTTCCCCTCAAAAGCAAAACCAGGATGTACTTTCTTTCAGTATTTTTCCTAAGTTTTTTTTTCTAAACACATTACGTCAAATAGGCTGATCATCATAGCATCTTGACTAGCTAATGAGGTAGGAGGTATTCTTCAGAAGAAGTTCTTAGGCATTTATGAAGCAAAAAAGAATAATCAAATTATAAAAAGCTGTTCTTTTTTAGCAATTTTTCTTTCAACAAAATGCCAAGAGCATTAGAAATTGGCCAAATGCTGCCCATACTTTAAAAGACAAAGAGGAAAAGCCCTGCTACTGAGCATATTAAAGGGCAAAATCAGAGTACTGGCACCAGTTCAATTTGTTTTGGTGTTACAAGATTAATACTTATACTTCAAAATGCCAAGCTTTCTTCTTGGGAGAAATTTTACCAAGAAGATAAACATTCAAACAGAAAACAAAAGTACTTCATCTTTTCTTTTCAGTACAATTTCTTTTTTAACCCAGTTCTCATCTTTTCCTATACCCATACACACACACAAAAGGTTTTGTATATATTGTATATCCAGTCATATATTTAAATGAATTTAGCAGTCAATTTATCAAATTCTGCCAAAGAAACACTCCTTACATAAAGGTTTTATTAACATAAAGCTAAATGGCTAGAAAATACTTTGATAATAGATTTCAGCACCATCTCTGTATGAGCAAGTTATTTTAAAATGCATACATCCCTAAATGCACATAAACCTAGGAAATTTACCCATTATTTCCTCTTCACCTGTACCAAAATCAAACTTGTGTTTTAACTACCCTTCCTGTATGCCAAAAATAAAAAATGCCTTACAAATCTACCCAATTAATAGGACACATACGTGTTCCCAAATAAGTGAAAGTAAGTTATCAACTAAGCATGATTTGTCTAAAATATACATTTTGAACACTTTGGTACTATTATTTGATGAAGGCTAATATATTAGGACAGAGGATTTATTTGCCCAATTATGCACCTATTAGGGTTGCTGCTAAATACTTAAAAAGTCATCTAGAAAATATAAAACATCGTATCTAAACAGAATAGCTGCTAGAAAGAAAATTGGTAACTATACGTGGCCTGACAGATGGTTTTGAAATCAAGTCCCTGACAATTCTACTACAAAGTGTTTTAGATGTAGGAATCAAACTTGGTAGCAGAATAGTGCAACTCTCTCATATGGCAGCCCTTACTGGCAGTAACCATTTGAGATTTGCTACCAAAAATAATTTGTCAACAAGAATTTTTTTACATATTTAAACTTTTACTATTCTATCTAGAACTGCTTCCTACCAATGTGATCAAAATTTCAAAATATTTATAAAAGTATCACTTTGTGTATATCATTTAAGTTTGAAGAGAATTCTTTCCTCTTCACTGCCACCTTCTCTAATTTTATAGTTCCCTTTACAAATATTCTTTTCCTAAGGCACCCATGCCCTATTTATTGCTGCAAAGCCCCTGAAATCTGTGCCACATCACTCTGTGCCTGTTTCATCATTATTGTTAAATGAAAATAACTTAAGTGTGTCTGCTAAAACTTCATAATATCAAGTCTAGAATACCATTGTCCAGTAGATTAACTGCAAGATAACCAAGTCTACTGAAGCAAAGGTCAAAAACTACAAGTATATGCTCTTCCCCCCAACCCACCAAAAAAAAAAAAAAGACCACATTACCTACTATGATAGTAAAGCTCAATGACATCTGACTATATATAATCCATACTTCATGTTATAAAACAAAATGTTAGGTGAGGAAGCTTTCACAATTTTTATTAAATCCTAGTCTAATTTAACAATATCTCATCTTACGGACACCATCCCATGATGAACGTGTTTAATAAGAAAAAGCAAATCAGACATTTAGTCATTATTTTCTGCAGACTGAACAATAAGATAACACCTACACAGAACACTATCAGTAATGACATACATTTGCTCAGTTTTCATACAAGCCATGTTGTTCATCAAACTACATTTCCTAATATTTAGTACATCAGCATTAGTGATTGCAGTTCCCATATTTTAATTACAAGTGCCTTACTGAGATAACTAACATTTTGACAGTTTCACTGACATTTGCAAACTAGCATAACATATTCAAGGAAGAGTAAAAACTATACATGGAAAGGTAAGTTAGTAAAGGAAAATGAAGTAAAAAAAGGGGGCGGGGATGAAATATTGGAGTGGAAAAGTCAAACAAGTCTAGGCATTTGGTTGGAAGAAAACAGATGATTCCCCAAATCAAGATTTTATAAGTTTAATACAATACAAATCCTTCTTCACTGAAAAGCTGAGTTGAAACTAACAGGTTTACAAACTGTGACCTAGGCCTTAAACAGTACCAACTCTTCTGATCAAAAAAGGCCACAACAGTTAAGATTGTATTACTTGATTTTATTTTACACTAGGTGGTGGGCACAAAGCAATCCTCCTTAATGAAGTTGACAATTAGCTTCACTCAGAACATTTTTAATAATGCACATTAAAAAAAAGTTTTCATCTTACAAATTGTTCTGCAATCCAAATATACAATAGCCTGAAAAACAACAGTTAGAAAATAAAAGCCAATGTAAAAAGACAGATTGAAAACAACTAGACCAGTACAGGTTTTATATGGCTCTGATTTTACAGTTTTCTTACTGCATCATCGATGTCAGAAATCTGTTCCTTCAGCTGGCTCCACTGCTCAGGATTTAAAGAAATACCTAAAACAAAGTTTTAAAATCAAAAGTTGAAAATCTACGTAAGCTTTCTTGAGGATTTTCATACTTCTAACTTAAACACTGTCTTATGAAAATTACCATGTAGAATGTTGTACAATACTGAGAGTTTAATCTCTTACATTAGTTAATTATAGATCACAGTTTCTTGAGAAGATCAAAATTAGTAGGTACCAATCTTACAGCGAGTTTTATTTCCAACACTGCATTTTGCCTTTACTTCTTATACCCAAGGAGAACAAATGGTATTTGAAAATTTAACTCACAAATGCCTACAACCTTGCCGGCTAAGTGGTCAGGCCCATATTTGGCACTTAAGACCCCATTTCTACATCCAGCTAGTTCCAACATCTGCCAAAAATTTCCAGATATTTCAGGTCATGACTTTATGGCAAGTTCTTCCAGAAGCTTTTGCTTCACTTTGGAAAGATCCCTGGGATGTGATCCAGACAGAACTTCTTAACGTACATACACCGGGTTAAGAGTGCTTTCTGATGTTATACTGTCAGAGTTCAAATTCCAGTCTATCACTAGCTATACAACCTTAAAAAAAATTACCTCACCTTTTAAATCTCAGTTTCCTCACTAGTAAAATGGTACTTATATCTCCAATGGTTGTTGTGAATAATTAAACTAGGTAATTTCAGTGAAGAATTTAGTATAGTACCTGACAAATAAGTAAACACTAAATGAAAGTCAGATAAATGAAATCTGTCTTGCATATTTAGGGTGTAAAATTTTATCTTTTCCATACTTTGTTCTTTAAATTTCCATCATTCTAATATTTGACCCCTACAAGTAGAGAAATAAATTAGACTTGGAAGACTTCATAAATTTCTCAGAAAACTGCTGGAAGGCCATGAAATTAAACACAGAACTTACTTAGACAACACCTGGAAGAACTTTAAAGCTAATCAAATTGTTTTAGCCCGTATTTGCAGAAACAAGAAAAGAAATCTGGCATCAGCTACTCTGGAATAACCGGAGTGACCAAATTAAGAAGAAAATCCAGACGCTGCCTGAGCAATAAAATGTTAAAGATCATGAACAAGAGGTACCTTTTAAACTGACAGACTAGCAGAGAAGAAAATAAGCAGACATTTTTCATTAACTCACGATCAACTAACCACCCAAATATACTTATTTATGCTGGTTCAAAAATGTTCTCTAGTTATTTGGTGAATGAATAAAGTATGCTTCTATGATACTGACAAACTCGGGACTCGATGAAGCACAGAGGGAAGGAGGACAGAGACCCACTTGAAGAATACTACCTAAAGAATAGCTTTTAGGAGATGATCAAAAGGAAGTTCTGTGAACCAGAAAATCTCATTCATGATTTTACAACTTCACAGGTAGCATCTAATCTACTTCAGAATTGCTATAAATTTAAATAAACAAAAAACCCACTCATTTACATTCAGGTAAATCAGCAGCCAATTAAAGTGGTATTAAGGATGTTACTTTTCCAGGTTTTACTCCAAAAGAAAAAACTCCAGCTGCTGTATTTAAGACATCTCATTAAAAACGCTCAGGTATCATGTTCAAAATGACTACAGAAGATAGAGAATCAACTGAATGAGGGTCTTCTTTGCCCTATACATGGCCAGTATTATTTCAAGTAAGGTAGGTTACTTAAAAATTTTTTAACTTAGTCCCAACATTATAACCAAATTCAGGAAATTAGATCTCACCTTTTCTTCCTGGTTTCATTTCACCTTCCTGATCCATCCAATATTCTCTAATATCAATTAGAACTTTGCCTTTAAAGTCCCGAACACTGACGTACCTCATTTTCCCAATCTGCAAAAGAAACAAGTAACTTTATAAAGAGGTGTTCGTTTCAACACTGGTGTCCATATTTATATCCACAACTAGCTACACATTCACTACACTTCTAATCAGAATGCTATTCTCAACATCAAAATGGCAACCAAAGGATGAAGTTTAATAATCACTGTTTAAAAAAAAAAAGATAAAGGATTCTTCCTAAAAAGGTGGATCTAAACAAAGCACATCTCACATTTCCCATTTTCATTTTTTACATTAACAAATCAGTTGCAAAGAAAATCTTGCAAAAGAAACTACATCCAATAGGAATCCATAGGTTCAGTTAGCTACACTGTTTTAGCAACCATTCTGAATGTAAAAATCCAAGGTTTTTACAAGTAATTACAGGTAGTTCTCTAGCAACTTTAATATCACAGATACGCTACATAGGTTATATTCCTATAGAAACAAGTTCTTAAGATTCAGAGCTGAAAGAACCAGACACAAGTATCTAGTAACACTTCCTCTCTAGTCACGATTCTGCCTAGATCAAAAGACTAGTGCAGCGACTCTCCTTGGATAGCTTTCCTCAAATATTACATTCAGGGAGCTGCTTATGTTTGATGTACATCTCCTTACCAGAATTTAACATTGTTTCCTCTAGCTCTAGTCTCAAGAAATACATATTTAGTTTAGGGGAAAAAAAAAGAATCTCGTCTTACCATACCAAATAATTTGAAATTTACATCTACTTGTTTTGGCAAAGTTTATCTAATAAACTTTGACATGAAAGACTCTAACATGAGATGATCTAGCAATGTCTAAAAAAAAGTCCACTCTGAAGAAACTGTCTTCAAAGCTTTCTTGGTAAATGAAAAACAGAAATTATATAGCTCCATTTTAAAAAAGCTTTATAAAACACCACACTGGGGACACTGTTTTTCCTTCCCAAAATCCCATCTTTCATCCATCTTTCCAATAAAATAAAATAAAATTATCAAAACTATTATTACTAATGGAGCCCTGATAGTGCAGTGGTTAAGAGCAACGGCTACTAACCAAAAGGTCAGCAGTTCAAATCCACCAGCCACTCCTTAGAAACCCTATGGAGCAGTTATACTCCATTCTACAGGGTTGCTATGAGTCAGAATCGACTCGACAACAACGGGTTTTATTATTACTAATAAAAATGAAGGCTTCATTTACTATATAACCAACGTACTCTAATGTGCTCTCAAGCCAATTAAAATTAAGTATGACCATTAAAACATTCCACGGCCAAAAATCATTTCAAGGAAAAAGCTGAAACGTCAACAAAATTAGATTCTACATTCTTAGAATGCATACTAAAATCTGTGAAAAGTCACTGAAAATAAGGCCAATGTTCGACCTAGAGCCAGACTTTCTAAGGGGCAAAGTGTCTAATAGCTTAGAAGGCTTGGAAACCTTTCCAAATGAAGGTTTAAGAACTGAACCCACATTTTAGTTGGGGAAAACAACCCTCTTAGATCTAGTTTTCCCAAAAATGCTCTCAGAGTAAAATCTCTACATACGGATCCTGGTTTCTGTATCCGTAAAATTAGGACATGAAATAGACAAGGTAAAATCCATTAAAAGGCCATAGAGGCTCTATTATCAAACAGGTAAAGCAGGAACATGGTGAAAAGAATTATCAGAAAAAAGCTCAAGACAGTTACTATACCCAGCAAATTCTTTTAAGTGTTTACCTTTATTATCAATATCAAGTTAAAACATTCCAGTGTGGACTCTCATTTTACACAGGAGCAAGGTTTATGAAAAAGAAGGGATCCTCTCTTACAGATTTTACATTTCATTCTGCCCCTTCAAATGGCTTCCCAATTCACTTATAATAAAACCCAAACTCCTTAACACAGCTTCCCAACAGGAAGGCCCTCCGCAAGATCTAGCCCTTCCCCCTCTTTACCAACTACATCTCCTACCTATAGTTTCACCAGCTTTCCAGGCTTATAATTCCTGTATATCCAAGCTCTTTCTCACTTCAAGGTATTTACACAACTATCTTTATTTGAAAGTGTTTCCCCCTCCCATACACTGCGCATAGCTGGCTCCTCCTCGTTCTTTGTCTTAAGCTTTAAATGCCACTTCCTTAGGAGATTCCAAGTGCACTCAATCTTAAAAGCAAGCCTCCTTATTTTCTCCCATAATAAATCCACCATTTTTCTTCTCACCACTTACCATAATTTTAATTATACACCTGTCTACCTGTATAATTTCATATAAAAAATAAGGTTTTAATGAATTTATTATTTTTATAGTTTATTCACAAACTCTATGAAGCCACTGACCATATCTACTGGGTTCATCACTGCATATCCAGAACCTAGCAAAGCCTGAATGAAACAGTAAAATTTATCATCCACTCAAAGAAACGAAGGCCCTTTCACAATTTCTTCTTCCATTTCACTCATGTTATCTATCAAATCTATTCTGCTCCTAGTTCCTCTACACTAGACAGAAGTCAGAGGACTAAAAGACCAATAGCTACTTTGTTTGCACTTTGTCTATTTTCTTTATCCAGAAGTGCTAGGCAAAAGTGAGTGAAAATACCTGACTTCTATTTTTCCATTCTCACCTTAATCCTGGCACTCTGCCTTTCAAGGCCAGGAATAAGTAAAAAAAATGTAAATACAGAATAATTGTAGCCTCACTTTCTGGTCAAATAAATATTCCCAATCTCATTCTTTTCAACCCTTTGGTTTCAAGCAATATTTATGCTTCGTTCTTGAAACAGGTATCCTTTCCTGCTCCCATTACTGTACTCTTCTAACTTTCCTTCCTCTTCTCTAACCTACCCTTTTCCCTTCCATCCTCTAGTTGAATATTATCCAAGACACGTCAACTCCTCTTCTCCCTCTGGTTTACTCCTACCCCAATGGAGGACTCAGTCAACCAAGCTAATGATCCCACAAGAACACTTCCCAACCTAGTCCTCCACGTGTTATAGGCTAGACCCTACTTATTTTACCATGTTTACAATCAGGTCCAAAAGCCACATTAACAACCTTTGCCATTACAACAAATTTATTTTCCTTATTTCTGTTAAAACCAGTCTCAACTGATTGCTTAATTTAGCTGATCTACTCCTCATCAGCACCTCATAAATTTCTTCTTGTGGGAAAAAAAAAATCTAAGCCTCATCACCTGTCACACACAGAGTTAAGGCCTATAGTTGCCTCAGGGATCTCACCTGCATACCATTTCCACCCAATACCTCTTCCCCAACAAATCCTTCTTAAACAATGATGCCAATATTCAACATTCCTAAAACAGGAGAGGAAACCCAAGAAAAGAAGTTATACGAGTCCCCTCCAGGTGATTTTATCAAATCCCTCTAATGAACTTTCCTCACCTTAGCCATTCAGCCTTATTCCCCATTATATAAAAACACAGAGCCTATTTGAGTAAACCCATTCTCCTTATCTATTCTTTTCAGGCCAAAACAAGGGAGGTCATATTGATGTTTTCCTGCCAATAAAAACCTATCCGCACTTCACAGTCCAATACTAGACCTACTTCCTCCAAGTTGCCTTCGAAGTCTGTAGTTCTCAATCTTTTTTTTTTTTTTTACATTTTTATAACATTTAAATCTGCATTGTTTTAAATATAGCAAAACTACAGACTTCTGGACTTAAAAAAATAATCCAGCATCATTTAAAATTACTTTTTTTCTAATAACCTGTTTTACGTTTCAATGAAATATTGCATCCTTCGTCAAGAGGATTATAACATATATAAAAAATTATTTTACAATCTCAGATTAAGACACTTTTAACATTCCCATTTCTAATCTTCAGATCAAGCCACATTCCTCTGGATCTAAGGGAAATAATGAACTTCACCTGAAACATGTTATCATCTCTGCTGCTGCTGCTCTGCTTGGAGGACGATAGGGCTCTTGAAGTCTCACCAGTCTTTTGTTTCTTTACAGGTTTTTCTGGAGCAACTTGCTTTTTCCTCTTCAACTTCAAAGAAAAAAAACAAGAATATGGTTAAAATTTGCACAACAAGAGTAAAACATCTCCAGGTTCAAAAGATTCCATTACTTTTTAAGAATTAAAGGACCAAAAGATTATATTCATTTATTCATTATAGAAAAAAATCCTAAATATATAAATAGGTAAATTTCACTTGACAATCTAACATACATCTAATACAGTGTTTTCAAACTATTCTCAGGAGCCTAGAAATACGTCACGTGTTAGGGTGGTAACAACAAGATAAATAATCGTTTTTATTGGTGGGGGGAAAACTGGCATCTCACATTAAGATTTCTTTGGGAGGGGAAAAAAGACAGGGGGGCCTGCTACTTCTGGGAATCACAGATCTACTGCGGCTAGTACTTTTTTTTTTTTTTTTTTTCACAAAGAAGATATACTAATTAGAAAGGAAACAACCAACCTATTCCATTCCTAGGATTTATGATTTATGCCTTGTCTTATTCCAAAACAGATTTAGATTAGGCAAAACTGAAAAGCCATTTTGTACTGGGCACTGGAAATTCGAGCACTTCCTCATCACAAAAAATTACTGAAGGAGGGCAATGTATGACTAGCATTCAAAATCAAAACGTTCTAAAAGCAGTATTATAAAAACTTTTTAAATAACCTCATTCTCAAAATGAGCTAACAGCCCATAAAAACAACTAGAGTTCCCAACCCAAACAGTAGAGGGCAGTCATGTTCCTTTTCAGTTAAAGTATAATTATATTTTACTAAATTAGGAATCCTGGATAGCACAAACAGTTAAACACTTGACTACTAGCCAACAGGTTGACAGTTTGAGCCCACGCAGAGGCTCCTGGGCAAAAAAGCCTGGCAATCTGCTTCTGAAAGGTTACAGCCTTGAAAACCCTATGGAGTACAGTTCTACCAAACTGACTCCATAGCAACTGTTTTGGAAACCCTGGTGGCGTAGTGGTTAAGAGCTATGGCTGCTAACCAAAAAGATCAGCAGTTCAAATCCACCAGGCGCTCGTTGGAAACTCTACGGGGCAGTTCTACTCTGTCCTATACGGTCGCTATGAGTCAGAACCGACTTGACGGCAACGGATTTTTAAATCAGATGAAGATAGGTAAAATATATATTTTTTACCTATCTTTAAGTCACAGTCAACTTGATGGCAGCGGGTTCGGTTGCATCAATTTAATCAAATATGATGGTTGTTGTTAGGTGCCCTCGAGTCGGTTCTGACTCACAGCGACCCTATGTAGGAGAACGAAACACTGCCTGGTCCTGAGCCATCCTCACAATCGTTACGCTTGAACCCACTGCTGCAGCCGCTGTGTCAATCCATCCCATTGAAGGTTTTCCTCTTTTTTGCTGACCCTCTATATGATCAGCTTTACCTAATATGCATATTTTTATATTATTAGGTATATACCTAATAATATAAAACACGTAAATTTATTTAACTTAAATGCTTACAAAATTAAAAGTACTATTTGAGAGCAAATAACAAAAATTAGCTTGGCTCAATAACCAGAAAGCTGTTCTTTAAATCAGGGACTGGGTATTTCCTGTGGACCATGCCTAGCATGTAAAATCTCAATAAAAATTTATTAAATGAACATATTCAAATGCTATACCGGGCACAATTTAAAAAATTAACAGAAGATTTCCTCCTGAAATATAGCTATTTATGCTCTCTGAAGCCTTTCCAAGTGATATTATATTCTGTGTTTCTCTATACAGGTCCAACTTCGCTAAGATACTCCCAAATAAGCTCTCTCCTGTTTTAGCTAATACTGTTAACTGAGCTCAGAGACAACCATGTAAGCTTTATCTAGGAGATAAACGACAGTTCTGTGTAGAAGGAAGGCTTGACTGCAGTGAGATGCTCACAAAAGTCTTTGGCTCAAGCAGAATGCACCAACCATTAACAGCAGAGTTGTCATCCAATGCAGAAAAAGTCAATTCTGTAAAAAATGTGGCTAGTCATTTCATGTTCGCTTTGCTGGGTGTTGATTTAACTAAAATTTAGTAACCCTTGTTGGGAGGATAAACATCAATGGCTGAAGAGATGGCTGTCAAAATAAACATCTATATACAAGGAATCCAGGTAATTTGGCCTACAAATTAAGACAGGTGCAAATAAAGGCTTTGGTCTAATTCTATTCCCCTAGGATCTAGGGCAACTTCTTGAGACTCAACAGAGGACTTGTTAAAATGACTGCTTCAGTCTGATTCAGGGCCCAGGAATGTGGATGTTCTACAAGCATTCTAGACACTTCTAGTCAAGGGGTCCAGAGGACATCCATACTTTCAGATACACCCATCTAGGTTCTCATTTTAAGACTGACATGACTTTTACTACCCTTGCAGAACCCGATGTAAGCAATATTTATTGCTGAATTAAGCGTCATAAACATAACCCGGTGTAGTAACAGTCACCTTTTTGTCGACTTCACTATCAGAATCACTGCCAGATGAGCTTGAAGAAACAAGTTCCTTTGATTTAGGCATTCTGAAAGAAAAATACATTATGTAAATAATTTACAAGTCGTTTGACTGCCTTCACCTTACTCAATCCCAAACTGAAAACCAAGGACAAGTAACTCCATGGTTCACTCTAGCTTCTTATGGCACTGGAGTTGTTACCCTGAGCACAAATGCTAGTGCTTTTAATCTATGCTCTTCTAAATTGAAAATAACATGCCAAGTAAAATGTTCTGAACCCAGCAAGGAGAAAGAACTAAATGTCATACACATCCCACACTTCTACACCTCTATCTTTCTCAAAGCCATTGGGTCTTTTTATGCTTTATTTTAGGGGGGATGAGGTTTATGTAAATTATACATAATTCACAGTAATTCATTACATTTTATACTGATTTTCTACTCTGGAACATAATTAAAATTTGAAGAATCTGTTTATAGAAAGGGAAAACCTTTCTTCAAATTCCTACCATGCCTCTGGCTCCCCAGACAGAGGTACATAGCTCAGCGCCTTGCTTGCAAGTGCTAAGTGCCCTGTGCCTGTTTTCAGAGATGAAACCATCACTAAAGTCTAAATTCCAAAATGTCAAGAAATCCCATGGCATGCAGTACCTCTTTTCAAGGCCCTTGTAACACCAGGTAGCGAAACACTAATTATCAAAGTACCTTTTGCTTTCCCCATCTCCAGCTCAGAAAAGACTAGGTCCCATTCATTTTTGTATGTCCTAAAGGGCCTAATACACACAACACACACTCTGTAAATGTTTGCTGAATAAAGGAAATGAGACTTCAATTTCTTCTCAGAAAGATTATAATCTAGCTCTCTAGACCAAACTTGCATTAGCACTGGGATTGAGTGTGTTCCACAATAGCAGGTCAAGGTAAAAGAAGTAGGCCATCCCAATACTGGCAAATTAGAAAAGCTCAAACCATGTCCAACCCAACTATGGCGATTTTAACTGGTAATTTCTTGAAGATGAAGAGAGTAAATTCAGAGGGGAGCAGCAACGTACACAATCACATTTTATACACTGTTCCTGTTACTGCTGTATCTTACAATCTAATCTCCAAAAATCAACTTGGATCATGCTAACTGCTAATATAACTGCCAAAAAAAAAGAAAAAATGTTTCAAGGTCATTAAATTGAACATAACCTATTTTTCACTTTGAAACGGTCAAGCACAACTATACCGTCTGTTATTAAACGCTGCCTGGGGGCCTAAAACCATTTCAAAGAACCACCTCCTATTTAACCGAACTAAGAAGTCTATTCAAATTGAAAACAGGATAATGGTATCTAAGGCCTTACTCTTTGAACTTCTGACAAAATATATTTCTACTTACACTTAAACAGTCTTTACTGGTCTAACAAAGGGGGGGGGGGACTCGTAATTCAGGCAAATGATACTAAAAAGCAGCATTGTAGGCTGTATTCAAAACGTAACTTAAAAAAAAACGAATCTTTGGTCTTTGATGATGACGTGCGGCGGGGATTAGAAAAGAAGAGGTGAAAATAAGGTGGGACTGAAGGGCACACGAATAACATACAACACGAGGAACAAGCACCAAGAAGGGGGATGGGGTCGCCCGGTGCCAGGAAGCGGCTAGAATCCCGGGGCTGGCTATGGCTCAGGCGAGGGGAGACAGGTTGG